TATTTATGTTAAGGAAACCATACCAATATATTTTATTTGCATAAATTATTGAACTTGATGGATTTGTGCAATATGAAGGTACATACATTACGTTATGTACATATGTAGCGCAAAACTTATTTCAAGTCAATTCAATTGAAATTAATTAACTTGTAGCTCAGGAATTATTATGAAGTAAAGAGCGTCCACTTTTGAATTTTAATTTAAAGATTTTGAGGTCAAATAAAGCGATAGCCTTTTCGCCGTCTATTGATATAATAAAGGCGGGCGGAATTAAATTGAAATCTATTTGCCTATAAGAATAACAAGTTAAATTCAAGTATTACGTACAACATTTAAATAGTCGAAACCAGCTTAATTTTTTTGGTACACTGCATTAATATCAGTTAGGTACATAGGTACTTTATACATTTTAATGCAAATGAAAAAGAACGCTCATACATATGATGCTTTTCGCGCGTATACTTTTTTTTGTAAAGGATACGAAAAATAGCATAACTTGGTGATGCCTCACTGCACCTGCCAGTCCAAGTATGGAAATCAATATCAATATTACGCCGCAGGCTAAAATTCCACCCACAATCGGTAAATTTGTGACTATGGAGGCGGCACGCGCATAAATGCCAACTCCAATCAACAGGAATCCCACCATCTGCAAACAAACCAAACAATGTACATACCATGAAGTGTAAAAATCGATAATTTTGGATCCTTTTGGTGCTCCCGTATATGCAAGTACTTGGCAAGTACTACAGCATAAGCAGGGGTATTACCCCACACTGTTAGGAAGGCCAAATTAAATCCTAATTAAATACTTACCACATACAAAATGTTCAACGCAATTAGCGCATTTTTCGAGCAGGTAAATCCTCCGCACATTTTCACAATATTTGCACTTTTGGTTATCAAAAATTTACTAAATCTATTTCCTTATCCAACTTTTTCCGCTTATTACTACACCAACTGATTCCAGCTAGGGAAGTGGGAAAAACATCGACGCATCGAAAATATCGATGTTTTGCTTCGTTGCACCGACAGTTTTCCACTCGATGCATAACGTCGCCTGCAAGGCGTATTTAACAAAGTGGTGTTGGCCGTATATAAGTAAAAAATTACACTAACAAATTATACGCTGACGTCCATACTGTCATTGGTATGAGTTACAACAAACACATCATTTTGACGTAATGGCCTCCACGGCGAAAAACTCAGCTGTCGCCCCAACACCACCTTGTTTAATACACCTTGGTCGCCTGGGTAAAAGATTGTCGTATGTTAATTTCGCCAGGTTATGGAAAATGGCGATTGAAGTTTGGAACGCAGTTTCTCAAAAACGCGAAGATAGATTTTCCCCAAGGTCGCTGAATACATTACTAGTTCAAAAAATGCTTAAATTACTTAATTTTTAATTATAATTGTTAATTAGTTTTCAGTTTATGACGGATTATCTTTAGTAAAATTTTGTCGTAATAGTCATTTGTCCACAATCTGGCAGCCACTTTGTATGAAATACGACAAAATGTGATTAAAATTTCTGCTAAATTAACGACACTTTTTACTCAATATCTCGGAAATTAAAGAGGATATCCAAAAATGGAGAACGTCGTTTTTAAGATATTGATTCGTTTAATATGACTGCATCACAAACTAACTTTTTTCTAAATTATCGAAAAAGATGTAGTCAATGGGCCATATGAATAAAAAATAAGAAATTGCTTTTTCTTAAATATCAGATATTTTACTCAATTTATTCAAACAAAATTGAAGTAAACGGTATGAAATTTTAAGAAAAAGCAATTGCTTAGTTTTTATTCATACGGCCCAATATCTCAGAAAATAAAGGAGATATCTAAAAACAGTAAGCAGTGCGCGCTTCCACTCCGCAACGCCTGGGTTCAAACCTTGGTCAAAGCAACATCGCAAAAAATATAGAAAAAACGTTATTTCTTAACAGCAGTCGTCCCTCGGCAGGCAATGGCAAACCTCCGAGTGTATTTCTGCCATGAAAAACAGCTTCTCATAAAAATACAATCGCCGTTCGGAGTCGGCTTAAAAACAGTAGGTCCCTCCGCTTTGTGTGACAACATCAAGGCGCACGTCACAAATCGGAATAGAAGCTCGGCCAAACACTAACATACATATGTAAGCGCCAATCTATTATTATTATTATTATTATTATTATTATTATTATTATTATTATTATTATTATTATTATTATTATTATTATTATTATTATTATACAGCATGCCACTTTTACTTTGTCCAGTATAAATTTTCTCAATAACTCTTCTGTAGGGTTAGGGTCCGCTTTGTGTGAAAACATCAAGGCGCTCGCCATAAATCGGAGGATAAGCTCGGCCAAACACTAACATATGTGTGAGCGCCAATCTATTATTTCTAAAAACCGACAACATCAATCGAAAGACCTTATTTCAAAACATATAACTGCATCTAGCTCTAAAAATCGTCAAAATTGCGCTTACGACAATCTTTGAGGATAAATAGTGGATGTATCAATGCATCGATGTTTTATAAAACTGACATCTTTAGTATATTGAACCGTCGTCACAGTTTAAAGCTGAAGCAAAACACCGGCGAACGGCAAATTTTTCGTTGCGAATGTTCGCACGAACACACTGATTTATATGAGAACGCGCACAACCAAAGCAAACGTCGAAGTTTGCTCGACGACTGTTCGCGACGATAGATTTATTTCTATCGCCGCGGTCAACGGCAACGACAAAAAAAGGCCATGATGACCATACTTTAAAAGTTATTGTAATTTTTGTTTAAAAGTAAAATAATATACCTTATATTTTTCTATCAGAGATTAATCTTCTTCTTCTTATTTGGCGCTGTAACCGCCTAAGCGATTTTGGCCGAGTCCAAAACAGCACGCCAGTCATATCTCTTCTGTGCTAACTGACGCCAATTGAAAATGCCAAGTGAAGCCAAGTCCTTCTCCACCTGGTCTTTCCAACGCAGAGGAGGCCTTCCTCTTCCTCTGTTCCCAGCATCGCGGCCCGCGTTGAATATTTTCAGAGCAGGAGCGTTTCTGTCCATCCGAACGACATGGCCAAGCCAGCGGAGCCGCTGAATTTTAATTCGCTGCACTATGTCTATATCGTTGTAAAGCTCATACAGCTCATCGTTAAATCGTCTGCGATATTCGCCATCACCAACGCGTAAAGGTCCGTAAATCTTTCGCAGAATCTTTCTCTCGAAAACTCCAAGAGCCGCCTCATCAGATGCTTTCATTGTCCATGCTTCCGCGCCATACACCAGCACAGGCATGATGAGTGACTTATAGAGTGTGATCTTTGTACGACGAGAGAGGACTTTACTTCTCAATTGCCTACTCAGCCCAAAGTAGCACTTGTTGGCAAGAGTGATTCTCCGTTGGATTTCAAGGCTGACATTATTATTGGTGTTAATGCTGGTTCCCAAATAAACGAAGTCGTCTACTTTTTCAAACTTGTAACTGTCAACAGTGACGTGGGTGCCAAGACGCGTATGCTCTGACTGTTTGTGTGCTGACAGGAGATACTTCGTTTTGTCCTCGTTCACCACCAGACCCATTCGCTTTGCTTCTCTATCCAATCCCGAGAAGGCAGAACAGACGTAGCCCTTGTTTTTACCGATAATATCGATGTCGTCGGCATACGCCAGCAATTGTACGCTCTTATAAAGTATTGTGCCTGAGCGGTTCAGTTCTGCGGCTCGTATTATCTTCTCCAACATAAGATTAAAGAAATCACACGAAAGGGGGTCCCCTTGTCTGAAACCTCGTTTGGTATCAAACGGCTCGGAGAGGTCCTTCTGACGGAGCTGGTGATATTGCTAAACGTCATTTTACACAGCCGTATTAGTTTCGCGGGGATACCAAATTCAGACATCGCGGCATAAAGGCAACTTCTCTTCGTGCTGTCGAAAGCGGCTTTGAAATCGACAAATAGATGGTGTGTGTCGATCCTATTCTCGCGGGTCTTTTCCAAGATTTGGCGTATTGTGAATACCTGATCTATGGTGGATTTTCCAGGCCTAAAGCCACACTGATAAGGTCCAATCAGCTCGTTGACGGTGGGCTTCAGTCTTTCGCACAATACGCTCGATAAGACCTTGTAACCTATGCTTAGAAGGCTAATTCCGCGGTAGTTGGCGCGTATGGCGAGGTCGCCTTTCTTGTGGATTGGGCAGAGCACACTTAAATTCCAATCGTCGGGCATGCGTTCATCTGACCATATTCTGCATACGAGCTGATGCATGCACCTCATCAGCTCCTCGCCGCCGTACTTGAATAGCTCGGCTGGCAGGCCGTCAGCTCCAGCAGCTTTGTTGTTTTTCAGCCGCGTAATCGCTATTCGTACCTCGTCATAGTCAGGCGGTGGGACAGCTACTCCATCATCATCGACTGGGGACTCGGGTTCGTCTTCCTCACTACTTTCAGCGCTGCTACCATTCAGTAGGTTATAAAAGTGTTCCCTCCACAATTTAAGTATATTCTGGACATCGGTCACTAGGTCGCCATTGTTGTTCTTACAGGAGTTCGCCCCGGTCTTGAAACCTTCCGTTCAGAGATAATCTAGTAAAACGTAAGTTTACTAGTAGTTATATTTAAAGACTATTTCTATATTTTAAACTTTTTCTTGCTGGTATTTTCCCTCTTCGTTGTAAAAGCTTCCTTCTTGAAACATGGTCACCTTATCAACTGACAGCATTCGAACCGCTCGATACCGCGCTATTTGTGTTTCAGTAAGCGAATTAGCTGGGCGAAAGTTGGTTGTTGTTGTTGTTGTAGCGGCTACAACAACCCCGCCCAGGACGGTTGGTATCTCAGTCGTTGTCGTCAAGTTCCACTAACGGCAACCCTAGGAAGCGTGCAGTTTCTGTAGGGTTTGTCCACAGGGACAAGGCCGTTAGGGTTGTCGGGTTTCCCGGGCATGCGAAGAGATGTTTCGAGTCATGTGGGGTCTCTCCGCATGCCGGACACTCATTCGGCACATCCTCATTCAACCTACTCAGGTAGGAGTTCAACCTGCTGCAGTAGCCGGGGCGAAGTTGTGCAAGTGTTGTGCGTGTCTCCCGAGGCAGATGAAGCTCCGTCTCGTCTATGTCCGGGGGTGGTATGCCTAGAACGGCATTCACAGGTCTAGAGTCTACATAACTCGAGACTGAGTCCCTGTGAATGCCGTTCAGGGCCTGTCGGTAAGCTGTCGGGTCCAGAGGTTGCTTGATGAACCTATGGACTTCGTCCGTCAGTTCATATAGATGCCTCCTGACGTGCCTAGGCGAGGGCTCCTCTGCAAGCAGCTGTCTGCTTGGGTGGCCACTTCTGTGGCTCCCGATCAGGAACTGCTTGCAGAGCATTATATTGTGCTCCTTTACAGGGGACATTTGCGCCTCGCCGTGCAGGTGGTGTTCAGGCGACATCAGGAGGCATCCAGTCGCTGTCCTGAGTGCGGTGTTCTGTGCAGTCTGTAGCTTCGTCCACTGCGTCCTACTAGTCCCCGGCGACCACACTGGCGCTGCGTAGTTCAAAACCGGCCGGCCTATTGCCTTGTATGTTGCCAGCAACGTTTCTTTGTCTTTGCCCCAAGTACTGCCAGCTAGCGACTTGAGGACCTTGTTGCGGCTCTGTACTTTATTGACAATAGCGGTTGAGTGCGCAGAGAAGGAGAGCAGGCTGTTGAATGTTACTCCGAGTATTTTGGGGTTATTCACCGTCGGAATTGGTGTGTCATCGACGTGAATCCCCAGCGGTAGCCTGACCTCCTTCGTCCAGGTTGTGAACAGGGTCGCGGAGGATTTCGTAGGGGAGAGGGCTAGACACTTTGCAGTGAAGAAGCGAGAAAGTTCGGAGAGATACCCGTTTACTTTCGAACACAGGTCATCAATTCCATTCCCAGTCGCCATGATCGAGCAATCGTCGGCATAAGAGACAATCGAGACTCCCTCTGGTGGTTGAGGGAGCTTTGAAATGTAAAAGTTAA